ACCACCATTAATCTTTGAGTAAGGAATCATCTCGACCAAATCCGCCTGCCAGAGATCGTTTTTTCCATACACATTAACTCTCCGCCTTGTATAATTTTTTCTGGCTGGTTTGTGTAGTTCGAAAGCGATATCACGTTTAGACATTTGGAATTCGTTTTATCAAACCCGCTTCATACAATTCTTCGTAAATTGAAAGTATTTCGTTGGAAAGACCTGTATTACCAGCAGCTTGAGAAGCTAAAAGTAGTCGTAAACGTTCGACTAACTCATTAGGGTCATTCCAGTACACTAGACTTTTATTTTGTAATTTCATAGACAACCCACTACCCGAAGATGGGAACAATGGCTTGATTATATCAGTGTATTTATTTCCACCTTTTTTAATTTTTTTCCCGTTTGATGTCAGATGAGCTGATGTTTGAATTAATATGCGCTTATATACGTTTAAATCGTCTGTGGTATAGATTTTCGGAGTTTTCGAAATTATTAAACTAATAAGTCCTTGTGTTAGCGGGTACGATGTATCTTCAATAATTAATATATCTCCGGAAAGTTTAATTTCTTTTTTCCCAAATATGCGTCTCCGTTTGATTGTAATGTAGGACCATACGTTTTATCTATGTTGTATGAATCCAGCAACTCGTTTATTTTAAAAACTCTAGAATTTTCTGTATTATTTTTTTCAACTTTTTGTACACTTATGTCTTGAGGTTGTGATGCCGAATTATGAATCTCGTTTAATGGTTCAATAATTGGTTTTAATGTTTCTGTTACTAACGAATGAATATCAGCTTTTCCGTGTTTTAATGCGGCATACTTGCGTTTTATATTTTCTTTGGCTTTAATCAATTCTCCGAGTACTTCATCGTTAGACGACATATTTGCGAATGAAGTGTTTTTAAAAAAACATTAGTTTATATAACAGCGAACGTATCGAACCCGTAACGATATCGACCATTGTCGCGTTCACAGTCTTTGTTTATAACGATAAACTCAAATCTCCCTTTACGCCAGCATGAAGTACAAAAGTCTTTAAACTCTGGATATGTCATATCACCAGAGCAATGTTCCATGTAGACGTGTTTTAAATTTGTCTCGTCTTGATTAAATAGTATAATAAAATTAGCGTTATCGCGCAAAAGTTGCTTGGGTACTTTTGAATAACTCTGAGCTAAATAGAAAACATCTATTAAATTATGTCGACCTCTGGAAAAGTAAGTTCTTGCAATCTTTTGGTTTTCAGTAATAATATCATCGAAAATAAACACCGAGTTTGGTAAAGCTTTTTCAGGTTCAATAACTTGATCGTTTTCGTAGAACTTAAATAATTGTATTCCATCAATGTCTGATAAAATATCACTCAACAATTCATACTTTGGTTGATCCAATGTTTTTGAATATATGTAGACGTTGTGAAATCGTATACCGTTTATATGTGTTAATAATGTGAAAATTAAATTAGTTTTCCCACAACCTGAAGGACCTACGATAAGTGATCTTATCGTATTAGGTAGAAGCGATCCATGTCTTTGTTTTTTATACGAAGTAGGTGGATCCACATTTTCAACTGTGAGTTGTATATCTTGTTTAAGGAATTTCATTTTTAAATAAATATCTCTGTAACACTCGGAACGTGATCAGTACACGATGTCACTCGCTCGAAGAAGGATCAACAATAAAGGCGCTGGTCTTATCAACACGCTTATAAATAAATTACCGCTAGAGCTTCACGTGCCTGGTGAGATCATAATATGAGCATATTAGTAGTAATAATAATAATATTTCTCTCTTTAGGTTATCAATATTGTGGTCCTGGTACAAATTTAAAAAAACGTTTAGCCCGTGGAGATAAAGGTATAAACCCTTTAGACGCTGCGTGTAGAGATCACGATATTGCATACGATAATAGTAACTCTATCACAGATCGCAACCAGGCTGACTATATATTAGAGCAGCGAGCCTGGGATAGGTTCAAGTCTAAAGATTCTAGTTTAAAAGAAAAGGCTGTCGCTTGGGGTGTAACTACCGCCATGAAAGCAAAACGTAAAATCGGGGCTGGATGTGGGTTTAAAGCGGCCGTCAAAGCAGCTAAAAACGCTATAAAGAAAAATATCGGTGAAAAAAACATGATGAAATTAAGTAAAAAATGTTTAGCCGTCGCACGAAAAACATTCAAAAATAAAAAAACTAAAGTTCCAAGGATTATATCAATTCCGAAAAAGGGCGGGGTGTTACCGCTCATCCCAATTTTCGCCGGTCTGTCAGCACTTGGAACGCTAACTGGTGGGGTTGCCAACGTGGTTAAGATGGCCGGTGAATTTAAAAGAGATTCAAAATCTCATTTGGGCGGCGGATTATACATCGCACCGTATAAAGGCAATTCGTATAAAATCGGATCAGGCTTAAATCTCGCACCATATAAAAGTGGTGGGGGTACAAAAACTAAAAAAACTAGAAAAAATAAAAAAAACTAATAACTACGTTGCCCAGAAGAGCCTTATACGATTTCGAACTTATAAAAATGGCTCGTTTGATTAAAATACCTCATTTCGTCGGCGTGTTTACTCGAGATAGGTTGCCTGCTCGTCGTAAACGAATAGAATCAGCGATTGTTAACTTGGATACAGAAAACGGTATAGGTACTCACTGGGTAGCGTATAAAAAAATCGGAAATCAAGTTCAATATTATGACAGTTTTGGAAATCTACCACCACCATTAGAAGTACAAAAATATTTTCACGGGTGCAATATCAATTTCAATTATAGCAGAGAACAGAAATATAATACTACAAACTGTGGACACTTGTGTTTAAAATTTTTATCATGTACACGATAACGTTAAACGGTAACTCGAGCGAATTGTCATGCGACATTTTTCCACCGTTGGAAGTAGAAAGTACAGCACAGATATGTCTTTTGAGCTTACAGACAAATAATTCAATACCAAACATCGAGCCTGGATGTAATACTATCGGTTTCCGAAATTTTATCGGACAGAACGAAAACATAATTATACCTACGGGGACGTATGAGTTGTATCAATTAGAGAGAATTATACAAGATATGTTACCAGACTATGTCACTGCGTTTGGATTAAAAGCAAACAGTAGAACATTAAAGTGTATTATGTCGTGTAGTCATGACGTGGACTTATCAGTTGGAAATAGTATAGCTAAATTATTAGGGTTTAGAAATGTACTATACACTACTGGTGCTACTCATGAATCTGAAAATATTGTCAACATAATGAAAATAAACAGTATAAAAGTAGAGTGCAACTTAGTTACTGGCTCATTCTGTGACGGTACGCCGAGTCAGGCTATACACGAGCTTTATCCATCTGTACCTGCAGGGTATAAAATCGTTGAAGTACCTAGACATCCAGTTTTTTATGCTCTCAACACGAGATCAATAACTAGAGTAAATATCGCGCTAAAAGATCAAAACGACTGTCTAATTAATCTTCGCGGTGAACCAATAACAGTCCGTCTACAAATCACTCGCGGATATGGCGCTCAAGTTTAATATAAAACCCGGTACAATCAAAAAACCTGTCAGTTTACCGTCTGCCGTTAAGAAGTTAACATCGAAAAAAACTATCTCTAAACCGAAAAACGATAGCAAGCTCACTAAAAACAATTTGAATTTTCTCCGTTCGTTGCAAGTTTAAAAATAAATATGGATGACTCGTATTTAGACGTAACGGCCGACTATGTCGATGAGTGTAAAATAACGCAAATGAATTATCATTCGTTCACTCCGTACTCAAACATGTCATTATCAAATAACGATGAAATCAGGATAAATATTTTAAATATGGACGCGTACACTTTACCGTGTGAAAGTTATATTTTCATCGAGGGAAAAGTAAAAAAACCTGCCGATGCTGTTGGAGATGTTCGTTTTTCAAATAATGGATTAGCATTTTTATTCTCTGAAATGCGATATGAAATAAACGGAGTAGAAATACAAAAATTAAAAACACCTGGAGTTTCCTCTTGTTTGAAAGCATACTGCTCGTATACTCCAAACGATTTGAATACGTTGGAGAACGCGGGCTGGGATTCGGCAATGGATGGTGAAGATAATAAAAATTTTATGAGCGGCGATGTATTTACCGGGTGTATCCCTCTAAAACATTTATTCGGATTTTGTGAAGACTATAAAAAAAATATTACTTAATTGTAATCAGCAACTGATTTTAAATCGTGCATCTACCGACCTGGATGCGATACACGTTGTTGGTGAGGGTGCAACCGCAGCCGTTGAGAAAAATAAAAAAATTACAATCGAACTTACTAAGGTGGTTTGGAAGATGCCCATTATCAAAGTCAGTGATAGAGAAAAATTAAGACTGGTAAAAGTAATAGATTCACATAGAACACTGTCATGTGCATACCGGACTTGGGATCTAAATGAATACCCTATACTTCCAAGAAATACTTCTCATTCGTGGACGGTAAAGTCCAGCAGCTTGCTAGAAAAACCAAGATTTGTGCTGTTTGGATTACAGACAGATCGAAAAAAAAATATTGAAAATGATGCTGGGCGATTCGATCACTGTCAATTAAAAAACCTTAAGGTTCACTTAAATTCTGAAGTGTTTCCATATGAAGACTTTCGCGCTGATTTTAAAAATAATACAACTAGTATACTGTATAAGGCCTATACAGACTTTCAAAAATCGTATTATGAGAGAGACTACTGTCAGCCGTTATTATCAAAACATATTTATCAAAACTTTGTTCCAATCATCGTTGTCGATTTATCACATCAAAACGACAATGTAAAGTCATCGACCGTGGATCTACGTATAGAATTTGAAACAGATACAATTATTCCAGAAAAGACTGCAGCATATTGTTTAATATTACACGACCAGATTATAACTTATAATATTAGTTTAACATATTAACTTAAGATATATATAAAAAAGAACATGTTTTTAATAATAAAAAAAAAAATTATACAGGATATATTTGTTAAGTAGGTTTAATTAACTAAATATAATCCCTTAGATGAGCTGGTCTCTTGCGGACTCCCTTTGGTCGCGTTGGTGTTTCTTCATCAGGGGTTGGAGTCTGGGTTCCTAGATGTTGCACCTCTGTGTCCTGTTCAACTTCTTGGTCAGTACTCACTGTCCCATCCTGTTCAGCGTCACTCTCCTCTGATTGTTCATCCTTTTCAGAAAAACGCTTCAAGGCACTAACATGAGCAGTTGTAGCGTACAAATGCCCTCCTGTGTGGTGCAGGTCTGCCAGTTTGTATGTATCTCCAGCGTTCACTGCTGTCACGACCATCGGTCCTCTGAACTTTGGTTGTAGTTTTGTTGAGCTTCCAGTCGACACTGGTGGTCTTCTAAGGTACACTATTTCTCCCAGTTCCAGTGACATATGTTTACGGTGCTGGTCATGTCTCAATTTCCATGTTGCCTGTTTTTCTGCAATGTCCTCGCGCAACTTCACAACTTCAACATCACCACCCATTTAGTGGTGATGTTAGAAAATTGTAAATTTTTTTTTTCTTATATTATATTTGTTGTAACCTTATATATTGTAACCTTATAATTATTTCCTTATTACTAATAAATAAAAAAAACTTGTTTTTAAATATCATGGTTGTTTTTATTTCACACAAGAAAAAAATATTTATTAAGACTTAATAAAATAAATTCGGTGGACACAGATCAGATGGTTTTGACTTGCTGCCTGTGTAATCGAACAGGGGTGTTGGGTCTCTGTTGAAATACATGGGTCCGTCGTTCTCATCAATAGCCTATAAAAATTAATGATTATTTATCATATAAATTATATTTATATATATACAATATTACCATTGCTATAGCATCCTGGAGGTTGGTACAACTGTCTTGTGTGGGTAGAGAATACTGCAAAATGGGGTACTCTGGCGAATGCTGCTTGTTTGTTGCCGACGGAGACAAGGGTGAGATTAATGCCAGATTTCCCTAAAAAAATATTTGAAATTTAAATATGGTTTGTAGATAAAATTTAAAACTGTTTATTACCTGTTCATATAAACTGCTGAACGATGGTGGGGAAATAGCTATTGAACGCCCTCTATTGTTTTCCTGTAAAAATTTAGTTTATTAACATAAAAATAAAATAAGTTAAGAAAAAATATTCATACCTCATCTTTTTTCACTTTTTCCATCCATTTTTGAACGATAGAATCAGTTGCGTATAATTTTACTTGATTTGTGTAAATATAATCACCCTGACTAATACCATATTGTATTGCCTCGTCAATAACATGTCTTTGGATATAACTATTGTCAATTTTTCTCACTTTGTTTCTCATTATTTCGAGTGTAGAGTTTTGTAGCGGTACGTTTAATTGTAAGAATGTAGCGATTAACTCAATATGATGTAGTACAATTGGTTTAACTATTTCAGATTTTCTTTTAATAATTTCATAAATAGCAGATTCTAAATCTTGCAACTGTAATAGATCGGAGCGATTTAACAGAACACGACATCCGTCTTGAATTTTTGATTCTAAAACGAGTGTGTTCTCCGATTGATACACCATACTAGTTAAAGAAATTGAATCCGTTTCCAAAAATAATTTTCGATTATATTTTTCTGGTTGATCGAGTATGAACGATAGAATGTTGCCCATAAGTCTGAATATACGCATTAGAAAATCGACAGGAATATTTACATGACGTGAAGCTGTTATAATATGTATCTTGGTGTTGAATTCGTCGGTAGGGTCTAGTCCAATGTTTAAAAACTTCCGAGCCGTGAAATCAATAGTCAAGTTACTACAGTCGATGAGATTAGCTGGTGGCGCTGGTGGAGTATATTTAAAAGGTTTCTTCTTCCAAATATTAGCCATATTTTCGACTGGTCCGGCCATATTTATTTTATAGAACGAAAAATAATTTTATTTTAAAAACTTCTCAATTCAACGCTGAAAACGATACGAACGCACGAACACTCGGGCGGGTGAAGAGCGACTGATTTCATTTTACGGTATTAAACGTGTACATTGAATATTATTTGGTGGGGGGAGCATCTGCGTGTCGCTGCAGGGATATTGCATGCAGCTGCATGTCCGTTACAATTGTTTAGATGTTCGGTAATATATATAACATGTACAAATATTTTAAATAAAAACTGAGCACAATAATAACGGGTGCTTGATAACACGTTCGTGATAAGAAATAATTTTCATTATCAAATGTTAACGGGTGCTTGATAACACGTTCGTGATAAGAAATAATTTTCATTAAATGATATTAGAAATAATATGTACATTTATACAAGTTAAATAGGGCTAGTTATTACCAATTAAGTATATGTGGCGGGGTGGCGCAGTGGCACAGTGGTCGCTCACCAAACCACAGGCTCGGGTTCGAAACCCGGTCGGACGAAAAAATTTTTTAACTTATTTTCCCCGGGCGGCGGCGGCGGCCATAGAGTGCCCGCGGCGGCGGCTGGTGGGGGTAGTCGACCGGTGGTGGGATCTGCCGTCGGCGGCGGGATCTGCTGCCGTGTGTCAGGGATCTGCTCGAGAGCATAGGAATCTGCCAGCAGGATCTGGTTCCAGAACTGTCTTTTTTACTCTACTCACAGTTGATTTTTTTTCTGGTAAAATACGAGAATATTCAGTGTGAATTCAAAATATACGGGCCAAAACAAAATTGTGGCTTGGTCTAGCAAGTTTCCTGAATCCCTATTGTGAGGCAAACACAGATATATTGTCATTATTAAATAAAAAATGAGACCTAGCGAAGAAATAACTGTGAACTTTGGCCAACATTATTTCGGACGAAACAACGAAGAATGTATGTGTCATTCCTGTGAAATTAAACACACAGGACATATTATCGAGAAAGTTAACAAGGTGCAGGTTGCATAATTTTGAATTCAGACTGCAGTGAAGAAGACTTTAGTTATATTTACATGCAACATGGGTGGACAAATTTTTTTGTACAAACGTTCACACATTGCTTCACTATGGTTCCAATTCATGCATGTGAAAAATGCGATAGGATTTTCAACAGAAAAGATAAACTACAACGACATATCAAAACTGTTCATGTAAAAGTGAAGCATTCTTGTGATATATGAGGTCGCCAATTTAGCACAACTCTTAGCAAAATTAGACACATCGACAAGATTCATAACAAAGGGATACAACAGTCATTCGACGTTTTCTTGCAAACAAGACCTACAATACCATGATAACTTCAACCAGACTATCATAAAACCGTATATGTGTCAGGAATGCAATCAAGGATTTGAATCACCTTATTTGCTACATATACATAGAAAATCAAATAAAAAACTAATCGATTAATAAGCATGAATACGATTAGAATTATAGCATGTTACATGAATTCGATGGTACAATTATTCGTTTCATGTGTTTTTGGATTAGAAAATTTAAAAAAAAATTGTAAGTGCCATAATATTTTATAAATATATAAATAGTATAGGTACAGTAAACCATATTTTATTTGTGCTTTAATTTATGTATCACCTGGGCATATAATTCTTTTCTAATCAATTCAAGTACTTATACAGTAAGGTTAAGTTGTGCCTTAGTATGTAAAATACCTATCAAAACCTAGGAATGGATATATATAAATAGAACAAAAATTAACAAGGATATTTAGTTTGAAGCATAAATAAATTATTGTTGTTAAATATTGGATTAAACTTCTATTATCAATTATCATCATTATGTCTATAGACTTAATATGTAATTTATTGTTTTCAATATGAAACTTACGTTTAATTATAATACATTTTTGATATTGTATTCAACAATGCCGAAATAAATAATATGATAGCATTCTTGTGATAAGTGAGGTCGCCAATTTAGCACAACTCCTAGCAAAATTAGACACATCGACAAGATTCATAACAATAAGGGGATACCACAAATAAAAACATTACTGTCACAAATATGGTTATATCTAAAGTCCGGATTTATATTCGAATCCGGAGATATATATAAATAAAAGAAAAATTTACAAAGCCATTCAGTTTAAAGACTTTTGTTATATTTACATGCAACATGGGTGGACAAATTTTTTTGTACAAATGTTCACACATTGCTTCACTATGGTTCCAATTCATGCATGTGAAAAATGCGATAGGATTTTCAACAGAAAAGATAAACTACTACGACATATCAAAACTGTTCATGTAAAAGTGAAGCATTCTTGTGATATATGAGGTCGCCAATTTAGCACAACTCATAGCAAAATTAGACACATCGACAAGATTCATAACAGAGGGGATACCACAATTATTTGTTTCATGTGTTTTTGGATTAGAAAATTTAAAAAAAAAATTGTAAGTGCCATAATATTTTATAAATATATAAATAGTATAGGTACAGTAATCCATATTTTATTTGTGCTGTAATTTATGTATCACCTGGCCATATAATTCTTTTCAAATCAATTCAAGTAAGTATACAGTAAGTTTAAGTTGTGCCCCTAGTATGTAAAATACCTACCCATAAATATATATATAAATAAAAGAAAAATTTACAAGGCCATTCAGTTTAAAGAAGAAATAAATAATTGTGATAACATATTGGACTACACTTCTATTATCGTCATGTACCTGTAAGTCAACAGACTTCATATGTATGTTATTGTTTTTAATTTTAAATTTATGTTTAATATTAATTTTGATGTTGTACTCAACAACGCAGAAATAAATAATATGATAAATGAACATATATTAATATTTCTGATTTATATAACTTAAAATATTAATAACTCTATTAAAACTTAGATAGAATCAAAAGATGTAAGAGATGCATAATAATGTGTAAGTATAATAATTTATATTTTTTTAATTTTATTAAAATATTTTAGAATGTTATCAAATTTAAAAGCAACAATTCTCTGCAATCAAAATTGTTCATCTCAAAGTGATATATGAGGTCGCCAATTTAGCACAAGTCATAGCAAAATTAGACACGTCGACAAGATTTATAACAAAGAGGATACCACAATCATTCGACGTTTTCTTGCAAACAAGACCTACAATACCACGATAACTTAAACCACACTATCTTAAAACCGTATATGTGTAAGGAATGTAATCAAGGATTTCAATCACCTTATTTGCTACATATACATAGAAAATCACATAAAAACGAACGACTAAGAAGCAGGAATACGATGGGAACTATAGCATATTACATGAATTAGATGGTACAATTATTTGTATCATGTGTTTTTGGATTAGAAAATTTTATAAAAAATTGTAAGTTCCATAATATTTTATAAATATAAAGGTAACGGATACGGTAAACCATATTTTATTTGTGCGGTAATTTATGTATCATCTGGGCATATAACACTTTTCAAATCAATTCAAGTAGGTATATATCAAGGTTAAGTTGTATCCCTAGTATGTAAAATACCTATCCATACCTAGGAATGGATATATATCAATAGAACAAAATTTTACAAGGAAATTCAGTTTAAAGCATA